ATATATATATATATATATATATATATATATATATATATATATATATATATATATATATATATATATATATATATATATATATATATATATATATATATATATATATATATATATATATATATATATATATATATATGCTGATAACCACAAGGAAGAAGAAAATGGGTTCCTAAGCGCTGTAATTCACATCTTCAGGGTGAGTACAGACTAGAGAGAGTAATAAATCAAGGTGTATATATACAGAGGAGGGTGAGACCAGGTCCACAATGGTCAGGTATAGTAATGACCTACTAATCTTTAAATAGCACACAACGGTTGGTGGTCAGGTCAGATGGTCAAGGACCCAGCCTTCACCCGATCACAAATCTTCTTAATACAAAATTGTCCAGCTTTGTACATGCCGCTACTCAAATTCATGTTGAATGCTTCGCATGTTTAATAAGACTAGATTCTATGATGTTCCTACTATCAATTGAATTGGTTAATATTGAGGAGGCATTATCCCAGTCAATGCAATGCTTGTTATCCCTCAAATGAACAAACAGAGCATTGGATTCCTGGCCTGTCCTAACACTGTATTTGTGTTGTTTAATTCTAGTTGCAAGATCTTTACCTGTCTGGCCTAAGTAAAACATATTACATTCCTTGCAAGGAACTTTATAAATGCAAACCAATTGTGTTGTTGGAGTTCTGATTAACATTTGTTTAACAGTGCATGAGTTTTAAATGCCACATTGACGCTCCAGGTTTTAGCTGTGCAGGAATGTGTGAGAAATTTTTGTGAAATGGTAATATTAAGATATTCTTATGGTCATGGTGGGCTTGGGATCAGTTTATAAAAAGTTTTCTTAGGTAATGTTTAAGCATTTGTCTATGAAAGATCTAGGTATTTAAGGTTTGAGCTATTATATATATATTTATTCTCATCGATGAATTCGGACTGCAAATTCTCAAGGCACGAAAAACATTGTTGAAAATACTGACTGTTTGACTTTATGTATTGGGCAGAATAATAATGAATGTATGAACACACATTAGTTGGTTTTCTATAAATACTGAACTTAAAAGTGTTACCTATTCTGTGTATCGATATATATACTGTATATATATATATATATATATATATATATATATATATATATATATATATATATATATATATATATATATATATATATATATATATATATATATATATATATATATATATATATATATATATATACAGTATTACCCCTACTTGGCGTTTCATAACGTTTTATCATATACGCTGCCTCGCCAGAGCTGAACTTTCACTTAACACGGTTTTTCCACATATACGCGTGAGTGTCCGCTCGAGATGCTATTTTTAGATTTGCCCACCCTGCCTGACTGCCTGTTTTAGCTCATAAAATTCATACAAATTACCCGCCAGAATATAATTTACATCGCTGGAATTTTATAATTTGGTGATCATTTTGAATATAAACATCATATTTTTTCATTAGACATACAAATTTTAGATAAAAAATTTCTCAAATTAACTATGTTATCTTTTGTGAAATATATGACATTTATATTCAAATATTCCTTGTCTTCGAGAATCCAGCAATGTCAATTATATTATCCTAACTTTAGTTTGAGGTATTATTTATTAAATTAGTGGTTATCACACATCTCCTTGGGACGGTTGGTGGGGGTGGGGGGGAGGGAGACCGACCCGACCATCTGTTACCCTGTGAAGAATTATTATTTTTTTATTAACTGAAGATATTTGTTTTAGCTCATAAAAAAATTACCCGGTCTGAATATAATTTACATTGCTGGAATTTTATAATTTGATGATCATTTTGAATATAAACATCATATTTTTGCATTAGACATACAAATTTTTAATAAAAATTTTCTCAATTAACTATGTTATCTCTTGTGCAAAATATATGACATTTATATTCAAAATATTCCTGGTCTTACAAGAATCCAGCAATGTCAATTATATTATCCTAACTTTAATCTGAGTATTATTTAATACTAAATGTTAAAACCCTGGAAGGGAGGATTGGTGGGGGTGGGGGGGGGTTGGGACTGACCGGTTGGAAGGGGAGGTAAGGTTGAGTCCATTATTTGAATGGACATTAACTTGGCGACTGTATTCTATTTCTCTTAAGTATTAATTGTGTGCATGTACCATCATAAAATTAAGATGTTATTTTACAACATAGGTATTGTGTCGAAAAAGTGGAGTTTGGGGGTCGGGCTGGTTTCTATTGGAATTAATCCCATATGTTCTGTTGTTTCACTTAACGCGACCCTCTGTTCAATTGACCTAAGTGGAATCTGTATATATATATATATATATATATATATATATATATATATATATATATATATATATATATATATATATATATATATATATATATATATATATATATATATATATATATATATATATATATATATATATATATATATATATATATATATATATATATACACACACACATATCAGTAATACTCGCTTAACACAGTTTAGCTTAGCTCGATATCGGTTTTCAGCGATATCACGTATATGGTGCCTGAGCCAGACTTTCACTTAACGGGTTTTCACGTATATACGCACAAAGTGTATAGCGCAAGAGTGTCGGCTCGAGAGCTATTTTTAGATTGCCCCACCGCCACCCTGCCTGACTGCCTGTTTTAGCTCATACAATTCATACAAATTACCGGCCAGAATATAATTTACATTGCTGGAATTCTTACAATATGATGATCATTTTTTGAATATAAACATCATAGATTTTGCATTAGACACAATTTTAGATATAATGTTTACTCTGAGTAAATGTGTTATTTCTTGTGCAAATATATGACATTTTATTCAAATATTCCTATGATCTTACAAGGAATCCAGCAATGTCAATTATATTATCCTAACTTTAGTTTGAGGTATTATTTATTACTAAAAATTTTTCTGGTTTTCCCACATCTGGTAGGGAGGGTTGGTGGGGGTGGGGGAGGAGGACCGACCGACCATCTGTTACTATGTGAAGAATTTTTTTTTTTTTATTAACTGAAGATATTTGTTTTAGCTCATAAAATTCATGCAAATTACTGCCAGAATATAATTTACATTGCTGGAATTCTTACAATTTGGTGATCATTTGAATATAAACATCATAGATTTTGCATTAGACATACAAATTTTAGATATAATGTTTACTCTGAGTAAATATATTTATCTTTTGTGCAAAATATATGACATTTATATTCAAAATATTCCTGATCTTACAAGGAATCCAGCAATGTCAATTGTATTATCCTAACTTTAGTTTGAGGTATTATTTATTAAAATTTAGTGGTTTCCCCAAAATTTCTCAGAGAGAGGAAGAGCCAGCAGTGTAGTGTGAAAGAGGGAGGGAGTTGAGTCCATTATTTGAATGGACATTAACTTGCGACTGTATTTCTTATTTCTCTTAAGTATTAATTGTGTGCATGTACCATCATAAAATTAAGATGTTATTTTACTAGAATATATATATATATATATATATATATATATATATATATATATATATATATATATATATATATATATTATATATATATATATATATATATATATATATATATATATATTTTTTATATATATATATATATATATATATATATATATATATATATATATATATATATATATATTTTTACAATTTTTGTTTCTCATTTTGCCAGAGATGATGGCTCCTAAGCGTGCAGAGGAGGGCAGAGGACAATTGAGACAAGGAAAGCTGGAATTTTCCTACAGTGAGCTGGAGAAGACCAAGGTAATATATTATTTAGCATATGGTGGTTGAATTTTTTTAGTACAGTACAGTATTTTTAATTGCTGTGTAGAGTGTAGACGAATTTCCTGTCATAGGTTAAAAAGGAGTACTGTGTCTAACAGCTTTACATTATTATATTTGATTGATTGTTGACAATCTTGAGTGCAGTCACTTTGTTTTACCATTGTACTCATTAAGAGTATGTTGCTACAATTTGCTCCCATGAAACATGTGGCATTTTACAACACCAAAGTTGGATCAGTTAACTTTCAGGATTAACTTGTTAAGTTAATTTGAAAAGTTAAGTAGTTAGGTTGGTCTTTTAATATTTTTGCTATCTTGGAAGTAATCCATAGACCCACCATTATACAGTACAAAAATAATCATGGTCAGTACAGCACTAATATGCCAGTACTATTGCAAGTTTTAATTGCTGTGTATGTGTTCTTATCTCACACCAGTAGTGATGGCCTCTCACCCCTTTTCAGGATATCTAGTTGATCTTTTGACTTATTTGGCCACTTGGGAACCTGTGGTACCCTTTATCCTGGTTCCCAAGATAAAAAGGTGCAGGTTATGCTATTGTTTGACATTCATGCCTCTTGGCATCCCATCACTACAAGCTGGCATGAGTGTCCATTGTCAATTGTAAATGAGGGATTGATCCTGAAGTCCCAATATATGATGAAAGCTGGGAACAGGAGGTTGATTAAGGCTAAATCCTGTTTTAAGGTCTGCTTGGGTTGTACTGAATGTGGGGCTCAGTTAAACTGGAAGAGGTCCTTTTCAAAGATTTTTACTTTTACTGGATTTGATAAGTATCACCCAAGTGCACAAGTGAAGGGGTCCTGGGAACCCTGGGTATAAGCCCAAATTTTGTTAATGCAAATATGAGGCACTCTGCATGACAAAGGTACCAATTTTCAAATTGATAGGGGTGAGCCCGCCACATGATGTCAGTCTAGTATTATAGAGCATCGACGGAGTTATCTGGAGACATACAAAATTATTTTTTCGACCCATGGCGGGCTCGCGCTTGTCTTGTGGAGCGCCGCATCTGCGAGTTGGCTGATGCAAATTTATAAATTGTCCCAATAGATATTTGTTATAAAATAGAATTTCTGGATCATATCTCTCATTCATTTTAGTAAGCTTGATATGATACATTGTGCTTATAATTATTTCGTTGCTTAACAGAGGAAGTGATTCCTGCTGGGACAAGATCTCGCAAAGTGAAGACTAAAGCTGAGAAAAAGGTAGTGAGACCTCCTCCTAAAAAAAAGACTAGGATTACACCTGCAAAAGGAAAAACTCATGGAGCTAGGCTAAAGGATGAGCCGCAAGAATATGAGGTACACTAATTTGCTGTTTTTTTTTTGTGTGTGTGTTTTGTTTTTTATACAATGCTTCACTTCTCCAGGAAGCTCCTGTCAAAGGGGTGATAATGACAGAAGAGCCTCCAGGCTGCCCTTTCTTTACCCTCTCTTACCTGATGACTTATTTTTTTACTTCCATTTACTGTATTTTGTCATTCTATTTCTTCTTTTGTCTTAACTTAAATGATTTTAGATGTATACGTATAAGGACTTAGGCTATGATGTAGTGAGATTTTAAACGTTGTTCTGTAGATACGGTATGCACATAGCATGAGTTCCAACTTACGTACAAATCCGATATGAAAACGTCCCCTGTACTGTCTATTATTCTACCTTTCCCTTTTGCAGTAGATGGGCTACCTGTATCAAGGGCTTCTTGTTTATTACCTAAGGCACCACCAATCCCATTCAGTTGTGATTAGGTACTTAATTTATGGTTGAGAAAGTGGAGGTGGTGAGGTGCATTGCCTACATCTGTGTACCAGAGTGCCTAGTAATTATTGTGCTGCAGCCTCACTCTATCTTATGGACCATCAAGCCCACCTGTTTCACTTTTGCTTTACTCACCCCTCTCGCACACAATGACGCGATTCGTGTCATATTCATGATAAGACCAACTGCACGGCGACTCAAATCGAGTCACCAAACATTAAGAAATTTGTCAAAAATTAAGTTTTCAACAGAATTGTGTCAAATTTTTATGCATCATAGTAGCAAGTAAGTTCTATCAAATAAACTAATTGGCAACTCTCGAGACCCATAGAAAGGGAAGACTGGAACGATAAATGCGCAGTATTATCTCGGCTGTCAGACCGTGAGTGTGAGCCGTGTCCATTTAAATTTCAATAACTCCTTGCGGGCTGCCTCAACTCCTGGATTACAGTGCTTACCCTATTCCATGAAATAAGCCAAAGATATTTGGTTTATGCCATTAAAAACAAGTTTTGTGGGGAAATTGATAAAACCCCCAAAAATATTCACCATGCACTGTCACGTCTGCCCTGAGGGCCTCCGAGATGTGATCTTGAAGCTGGAAAACTTAAAACTTATCTCGTGCACGAGAGGGTTAAAGGAAGACCATTTAAGTCTCTTATGCATGTTTGGTTGGTAATATTTAATAATGCTACATAATATATGAGACCATAACAGATCAGTTTACAAATCATGTTTTATTCCTCTTCTGACACAAATGAGGATTTTGCAAGTGACAGTCACATTTTTTGGGGGGGAGGGGGGGGGGGTGGCTCTTTAATGTTGAATAGCATTATTGGATGGCAGGGTGCTCATTGTTTATAACCATATTATATCAAGAGTTAAGAGTAATAATTAGACATTAAGGTTTTAATATTGAATAATAATATACTGGTGTCAGAAAACTAAATGTGAGCGAATAATTCAGGTGGAGGCAGTGGTTGATCATCGTGTGCGTGGACGCTTCACAGAGTACAAAGTTAGGTGGAAGGGTTTTGGACCGATGGATGACTCTTGGCTACCTGAAGCAGAACTCAAGTGTGACAACCTCCTCAACAAATACTTCAAGACTGCTGGTCGTAACTTAGAAGAGTCGTATGAGGTAAGGGACATATTTAGGTTAATTTGACAAAGAGGGGGCTCTGGGTTATGTGAATTACAGAAAAATCCAGTGCTTGAGAAATGGTGAGTGCTGGCAACATTGTTAGGGAGAACAGGAATGATCAGCTTATACCCCCTCTGTACTGTAAACAAGAGACTGCAATAGGTTGTCTGGGGTTTAGTGTTGGATTTTTGGGGGAAATTTTATATATATTTTGTTAATGTTTTATAAACCTGGCACCTAATAAATAATATGGGAATTACAATGTACCATTGTTAATTCGGAGTGTTATTATTCATATTTTAGCTTAATTTGTATGCTTTTTTAAAGATGAATTCAACGATTTGGAATGAATCTGAAATAACCATGCAGTTCCGAAACGTCGAGTATTATTATATAAATATATTATGAAATAGATCAAGATGAATGAATTTTAGGAATAGAATATGAATTATATTAAGATACTGTATATAACTACGTTTTGGTGCGTAGCAGTAGAGAGGAGGTGGCGGAGGAGGGAGAACAACTCACCACCTCCTGCTTGGCAACCTACACTCCCTTTATAACAACAGCATACAATTTCACCCATAGTTTCCATTTTTTTTAGGTTCATTTGGTGTTGGGTTAATAAAGCCTTATCTGAAAATAATTATTTTTCCCCAGAAAAATTTCCACACTCAATCCCAGATGAACTATTGATCCATAGTATATTCCTCTCTTGTTTACATTGCAGTAACAACTGATCAGTCCTGCTCTCCCTCGCAATATTGCCAGCACTTATTATCTCTCAATTGCTCAAGAGTCGGTGCTTACCACAAGATCTGTCTTGAGCACTTAGTAAATAATATTGTAGCGTATTTATCAGAACTTAATAAATATTATTGTTGTGTATAATGTGTCTCCATATGCGCTGGTTTATTAACTTATCAGTTATCTAAGTGCAAAAGTAGCCAAATCAAGCCATCATGTATCAATTAATTTTAAAATATAAATTAGAAATTAAAAGTTATAAGACAATGGTTTAGTAGTGCTATTACTGTGTGTGCTGTGTAAGTGCCTTGTCATGTCACCTCACCTCCTGCCTCGTTGCCTCAACTCTCGCCTCATCACCTCACCCCTTGCTTTGTCAGCTCAGCTCACCTCACATGGCCAGATGCAAAAACTGAACAGAAAATAAACAAATATATTTTGTATGATCATAAAATCAGCCTATTAAGGTGTATGTGTCATTGTAAGTTATATAACATATACAGTAGTATTAATTAATAGAACAAAATATGATATATAATTTGGCTTCAAAGTAAAACAACAAGCTAAATCAGTGTTGGGGCTGGGGCATAGCAGTACCATAGCAGACCCAAGGAATACATGACTCAGTGGCAGGTGAGGCAAGTTCTTAGCAACGTTAAAGAACTCAAGGATGCTTTAATGAGGGCTGAGCCCAGCCTGTAATACAGTGATGAACTCAGTGCACAGTATGGTGGAACCCTACAGGCAACATTACCAGGGGTTTAAATGCCGCCACTACAGGTGTCTGCAGTTGATTTTGAAGGCTTTGAATCCGACTAGCCTTCACCCCCTGCCTCGGGCCCCCCATCGTTTCCCAGAGCTCCCCACACCTCTATTCAGTGGAGATGGTGGAGTATCACATAATTAACTTCCTGGGCTTTCTTAAAATATTTGTTTATTAATGTAGATGCAGTTTATGTGACATGTGTCATATTCTGAAGGCTAAGTTAGTTACCCAAAGTCATTCTAGAGTAAATGTCTGGTGAGTCTAGTACAATATAGCAATTTTAACACATGTTAAAGGACATCGCTTGCGTGGATTTCTGATATGCTGACGTGTACCTGTAAGATATAGCCGCGCAAAATGAGACCCCACTGTATATTTCGTATTTCCGCTTAATGAATCCCCAGCAATATAATTTTATGATTACATTAGGAATAGTGTTAGTAATAGTATTTTCATTGATGTTGGTTGAATAAAAAAAAATGTGAAGAATTGGAGCTTTAGTTTGTTTCACAAAATTTGAAGGATGGGGCATTGTGGTGGCTAACAATAACTTACCCCCTACAGTGTTGCTGATTAAATTTTTTTAAGCCTGTAAAGGAGCAATCAATGTGAAATAAGTAAACACTCAATTAGCATGTTTCCATTAATATGGTGGTCACTCGTGTTGCTGGCTGACTGATATGTTTTAATTCATCTCTTCCCTGCTCTTTTTTTGACACTGTACCTTGGTTCAATTTATTTTGATATATGTATAGTAATGTAATAATAGATAATCTCATTGACAAAACCCATAACCCTTCAGGCTTTCATGCCCTTAATGCATGAGTCATAAAGGCAAGCATGAACTACGCATGCTTCCCAGATGGGCGCTGTAAATGCTTTTGCGCTTGACCTGCCCCCTCGGGGGGCAATCTAAAAAAAAAATCTAATTTCATAAGGGGTTTTGTGATTTCTTGGAATTTTCATTTTTCTTATCACCTGTACTTGGTGAGCTCAGCCAGGGCTACCAACTGCTCTTTGCTCTGTTGTTTAAAAGTTCATATTTATCTTCACCCAGAGAGATAATGTTATGCAAGACATAAACTAGTATTGTACTCTGTTGGCTGAGGGTACAAGTTAGTTCAACAGTTATAAAATAGAAGTCAAAAATAAGAAAAATATAAGGGTAGTGTGTGGTGTTTATGTAATGTGAATGAGTCGAGCGAGTGAACCACTGTGTGGCATGAATGAGCGTGTGCACGAGTTGTCCTCTAGTGGCATGATTCACGTGTGCATGAGTGCTGCCACCCTAGCGATGTGAATGTAGTTGGATGTCTGCCTAGTTAGATGACATAGCACGAGGTTTCGTGATCATGTGTATTACCCTGTGAGACGGATTGTTTCCTGCTGCATCATTGTACAGACCTCTCCCAGTAAACTGCATCTGAAGACTGTGTTTCATTGAGCCATCAGGGACCAAGTAGAACTTGAACAGGTAGAAAATAATAAATAGTTTTTATCAAAGGAAAGTGCAGAGTTTGAGAGAAATTGTGGCAAACCATCAAATTGTGGCATTGTTAATATAGACACAAAATAATCATCAGTGAGAAAGATGCCACACTCCTACTTTTTGTAATATTTTGCCTCCACTACCAACCTAGGACAACTGTTTGTATTTCCTGTTTAATATAAGAGGAATTGTTGCGTAGATCTTAAGTTCACATTCTCTTGAAAAGCTGCTTATATGAAGTATGTGTGTGAATATTGAAGGAAGATGAAGTGTATCAGAGACTAACCCAAAACCACAATCTCCAACAGGTAGAGGCCATTATGGGACTCAGAGAAGTGAAAGGTCGCACAGAGTACAAAGTTCGGTGGAAAGGTTGGGGTTCCAAGTACGACTCATGGCTTGCGGAAGATGAACTGAATTGTCCTGACATTCTGAAGCGTTTTAATGCAACACTCGACAAATTGGAAAAACAGGAGGATTGGCAGGTAAGGAATATCTAACACCAGTATGGTATGTGTATGAAAAGAATATTCTGAAATATTACTTATTTGATTGCCAGATTACTACCTAAACAGCTGCTTTCCAACTTTACCTGGATCTTTGAACTCTTAAAAAGAAAATGGTCCTCTCTTGTTGTAGATATTGTCTTAAAGGCTGAAAGACCCATTTAGCCTGTCTGAGAAATTCCTCCAAAATCCATTGACATACCGGATAGCTCACACTACTCACAGAAAATGTTCTGATCAGTTAGTTACAAGATCTGATCACCATAAGTGATGTAGAAAACATTGGAGTATTAAGCATTATGGAACACATTATTTGATATTACCTTAAATTTTCCTGGGGCAGCTAACCCTTTTCCTTGAAGGTGTGATCGATCCTGGTCCCTTAACTTAGGGTCTATGTTAGTTGAATGAATACAAGTCAAGAGGGAGTGGAATTTCTTCTTTTACTGGCTTAATGTGGATTGGAATTGTGATTTTTGTTAATTCTTGGACTTCAGAACAGATCCCCATGAGAAGATATTGTCCATTAAGTAGTAAAAGCTTCAGCTTCTCTCAGATGTGTCATTTGAAGTAGTTCAGTTCAAAAGAAGTACAATGAGTGTTAAATTTCAGAGGATACAGCACACCCTCCCATGCTACCTAAGTTAATCTTGACAGTAACACATACTAATGGAGGCTGGCAGATCTGTATGGCAGCTTCAGTTTGGGTACCATTGGGTAACAATGGTTTTAAATTAGACAAATTTAGATTTAGGCATGATATAGGTAAACATTGGTTTGGAAATAGAGTACTGTACAGTGGTCCCTCGGTTAACGAACACAATTCGTTCCACAGAGTCATTCGTTAACCGAAAATTTCGTAAACCGAATCCATTATTTCAATGGAATATTGGGTAATTGGTTCCAGCTCACAGAAAAGTACATACAAAGTAAAGCCAAAAAATGCATAAAGTCAGAAACATTCCTAGAATTCCCTAAATCGCCCTTAAATCACTATCTATCTATATACTGTGTATATATATATATATATATATATATATATATATATATATATATATATATATATATATATATATATATATATATATATATATATATATATATATATATATATATATATATATATATACATATATATATACATATACATATACATATACATATACATACACATATACATACATACATACATACATACATACACACTCTTACTCTTAAATCACTACTGTAATGTGATACAGGTGATTAATTTTTATCTCTTGTGCAAAATATATGACATTTATATTCAAATTATTCTCTGTCTTGCAAGGATTCCAGCAATGCAAATTATATTCTCCTAACTTTAGTCTGAGATATTATATAAGATAAAAACTGTAAGCCTAAAACCCTGGCTAGGGAGAAGGAGGGAGGGGGCAGAGTGGGAGGTCGGGTGATATGTTTGACAGTTGGCGCTGAAGGTCTAGTGAAGTATTTATTTGTTTATTTATGTCATTTAGTTAAGTTTTTGTTTTTTGCTTATAAAATGTCATAGAAGTGACCGGGGAGAATATAATTTACATTGCTGGAATTCTTATAAGATAGTGATTAATTTGAATGTAAACATGCAATAGTTTGCACTAGACTAAAATTTTAGTATTCATTTTGCACAAATATTAAGGAGCACAATTTTCTTGATATTTATTCCACTGGAAACGAATGTAAACATAGAATAGATTACTGAATTGGCAGACTAGCCCATCAGCTGATGCTCACAACAATACGTGATGTTCGTAAGGATTTCGTGAATCAAATTTTTTGTTCGTTAACCGAATTGAAGATTCTTATGGAAGGTAATTCGTTAACCAAACCATTAATTAACCTAGGGACCACTGTAGTGGACGAGTGGAACAAGTTACCAAATATCATCATTAACTCGAATACACTGGATAGCTTCAAACATAGGTTGGATGGATATATGAGCAATTGGGGTTGGGTGTAAATGGGACTGCCCAGTATGGGCCAATAGGCCCGCTGCAGTTTCCTCCATTCTTATGTTCTTATGTCTGTGGAGTCATGTGCAGCCCCTAGCCGGTAATTGCTTATATTGTAGCTACAGTAAATGGGTACTGCTTCATACTGTGGTTCAGATCCTGCTTCAGTACCTGAATTGGCTTTCAACCTATTGTTTATATGAATGACTGCCAGATAATGTCTAGCTATATCAGACTATTAATTACCACACCCTTAGGAGAAGATCCATTAATAGTAGCACACAAGTGATCGTGGGCCCTTCGTGCCCTGCTGACAGCGTACAGCGACATCGTTTTTCAGCATAAATAAAATGGTTAATTAATGCCTTCCTAAAGAAACCATCGACACGGGACCAGGTTTGTTCTGCTCTACGAATTTTTTGCGATTTTTCCACCAAGTTTGATGAAAAACGATTGTGCCGTTTCGGCTGCCCAGAACAGACACACGGCTATTCCTGTAGTTTATCAGATTTGGGGATTCATTGAGGAAATGCTCCAAGATGTGGTCATCTGGATATGTGGAAACTTTATGTGTGTAACACCTCAGTTCTGGGGAAATGTTATGTATAGCAGTGTGGAAAAGGTTGGATTGACTAAAAATCACCAGGTCTTCAAGGTCTGTCTTTTACCCTGTAAGGATGATGTTTGGCACTTCACTAACTAGTGGTTTATCCCAGTGCCTTTGTGTTATGATTTGAGGGAGTCTTTATTACAAGACCCTGTTCTTGACTTAAGTATGGGCATACAAGGGTAGAGAGGGTAAGTTCAAGAAAGATCCTCACTTGGATACTGCCTGTTTGCTGCTCTTTCTTCTCCCCAGTTATTAAACAACTCAATAATGTGACAATGTACCACTCCTGTCCCATTTAAGATTTCAGGTGCTAACACAGTGGTGTTCATGATGGTCTTAGTAAGAAAGTAGGGCAGAAATCTCCACTAGTTTGACCATAGACCATACTGACAAGCTTCTAGATAGCCTCAGAGAGAGGCTTCCTTCATACGAAGGGTAGGTGTTAATGTTCATTTTAATAATCATGGTGCTCTTTCATTCCTCAAAGGACATTTCTCTTTGGATATGCTTCCTTTAAAAGTTTCTTCATCTTGTTTATGGGGATGACACTGGTGGTGACATTTGATAGACTTTTGTTATTGATATTCAGTGAACTCTACAGAACAAAAGATTTTGCTTAACTAAGAATGGCTTCAAGGTTTACTGTACAATCTGTACAGCAGCCCTTGAAGGTGACCTCCTGGGCAAAACAATTATCAGTCTGTTTTCTTCTGACAGTGTGTGTCTGGAGGAGTGATGATTTTTTGTCATCATCATGGGAGGCTGATGTATGAAACTTTCTCCTCTCCATATCTTGGCAAAACATTCCTGCAGTATTTTTGTCTTTAAGTCATATAAAGAATTGAAGAGTTGCAGTTTTCTCTTGTTTTTGTAATCTTCTAGAACTCCCAGTGAGGAGTTTTGAGATACGCCTACGCTGTTGGGTACAATGTCTCTTGGGCCAGTTTCATAGTAGAACCTTATAGAGTTTCCACTGCTAGGCTCTGTGGCTCTCTCAAAATTATCATAGTTTGAATACATTCCATTTCAAGATTTGTAACATTCTCTCCCATTGTTACAGGATGTTTACAGATAATATTAAAGTTTCAATGTGAGAGGAGTTAGCTATTTTCATTTAATTTCCTTTCCATCCTTGTCAGTTCTTTCAAGAGAATTTTTTTAGTGTTTCATGTTCTCTGATCTGACATTAGTTTATTTTCTGTGAATGGACAAAAGTTTAGTTTCATTTTCTGTGAATATACATTAATTTCATATTTTATGAAGGAGAGATAGTTTAGTCTTCTTCGACCCTTCTCGTGAGGAGCAAGTGTGAATCCAGGCCAAAATTCTAGTTCCATGCTTCTTTAATCCATTGACTAGGGTGTGCAGCAACCAGAAATTATGTTCATTACCATAAATCCATGATTACATGGTGGTTAGATTCTTTGAAAACTCTGTACGAAGTGAATCCACATAAGTACTTGTGCCTATGGAAAATAGGGGTTAGTGTCCAGGATCTCATTAGTTCCTTGTTACTGGGCACAGAAAGGGTAGATCTTATCATTAGCTGGCCAGTGCATGATAGACATAACTCGGGTTGGGTGTAGACGGCTACCTAGTATGGGTCAATAGGCCCGCTGCAGTTTATGTTCTAAAGAAGCATGAATTTAGGATCTCTCTCTCTCTCTCGAGAATGTATGGTGTCAATTTAAAAAAAAAGGGGGGGGGGGTTTACTAGAGGCTTTCGCGGAACGTAACCGTTCTTTAAATTAGGGGTCTGCCTATACAGTGGTCCCTCGATTAACGAATGGTCCAATTAACGAAATTTCGGTTAACGAATTAGCTCCCATAAGGATTTTCAGTTCGATTAACGAACAAAATTTCGATTAACGAAATCCTTACGAGAAACACGCTTTGTTGTGCGCATCAGCTGATCGGCCAGTCCGCCAATACAGCAATTGATTCTATGTTTACATTCGTTTTCAGTGGAGTAAATATCAAGAAAGTTGGTCTCTTGAATATTTTTGCATTTTTACATTAAAATTATTGGTCATTCTGAAATTTAGTTAACATATTGATAATATACAGTGCAGAAATTATTATGAAACATGAAGAAGGCATTAGAACCAATGCACTCTACAATGCCTCTACAATCAGCTGTTTGATATGTAAACAAAGTTGCTGGGAATACGGCGTACGTACCTCAAAGTAAGTTTAATACAGTACTGTACTGTATTCTATTGTTTTTTTATTTATTATTGTACAGTATACTGTACAGTACAGTACTACTGTATTTAGTTTATATTTAATGTTTTGTTAATTCTATTACCGATATACAGTACTTTGTATGTATACTTTTTCTGTGAGTTGGAACCAATGACCCAATATCCCATTGAAATAATAGATTCAGTTAACGAACGACTCTGTGGAACCAATTGTGTTTGTTAATCGAGGGACCACTGTACTTTTGTTTTCATCACAGAAACTCTCACGCCATCTGACTCTACCTTCCTTTTATTTCTTAAATATTTCCCACTTCCTCTTTAAAACTTTTTCCAACAGCACCAAGTTATCAGCATATAACAACACTTAGGGATGTCCAAGTCTAAAGTCCCATGATAGTGCCTCTAGTACCATAATAAACAAAAGGAGCTTAAAATAGACCCTTGATGAACCCCAACTTTCATCTCAAATTCTTCACTCTCCTCACCATTTACTCTTACAGTTGTTTTGGTACCTACAGCAATTTTTTACTTTTCTGTGTACATAGCTTAGGAGACACTTAGTTTTATAGTTGTGGAGTGATATGGCAAATGTTATCCTTCCCAGTGGCTCTGATTCTGATGGGGTATTACATCCCAGTGTTCAGGATGATGTCAGACCTGATTAATAAAAAATTAAGGGAAATGAACCTTTCAACCTAAATGACTACAATAGGTCAACTTTCAACCTATGTGATTACAAAAGGTCAATTCTCAATCTAAATGAATAAAGTAAGTCAACTTTCAAAAGGGGATTTGGGCTATCCAATCCTGCAGATTTTGTAGCACCTTTTCCTTTTTCTTGTTCTAGCTGGCTTTGGATTACAAGAGGTGCCTGGCTTCAGGGTGATAGCCAGAAATGGAGGATAGATTCTGAAATCCCTTTTGGCAAACCTCAAAGCTTGGTGACTGAAACTCTTCTTCCTTTCTTGTGTTTGTGGCTATTCAGCTGAAACTGAAGTGAAAACTGTCAGTTGCACTCAGATTCATAGATGGCAGAGCTATCTCCTTGGTGTGGTAAGTGCTGATTGGGCAGTCTTGGCCCTAATCACCTCTGCCCCTCCCATTTTAGGGTGACCACTTTACCAGTCCCTCATATTTAAGGCTGGCAGTTCAGGGTGAAGGTAAGGGTTATCAGTATCTAAATGAGTTTATAGGTATATTCTGGAAGGCAGTAAGGGACCCTGAGTAAGGACTCCCATATACGTTTTCCTATATCCTGACTTTGGGATCTGCCACAAAAAGGAATTTCGGAATTAGTTCTTCATTGGTAAATATTTTTGGCTGTTTTTCCTTTTGATATCTTTTACAAGCTGGATAACAAGAAAACAGAATTCACTAGCCTTACTAGACTCCAAATTACAGCAATTACTCCCTAATATTCAATTAAAAATCTTTGTGTGCTGGTGTACTGGTTCATTAATGCTCCAAAGGTATACTCGAACCTTGCTAATTCAATGTCCTTGTGTTCTACCCCATTTGAATTATCCTTAGAATATGAATTAGTTGGTGTGGCCAATTAGCTCTTTTTTGTTCAATGCATAATTTATGTGCTAACATTGCTGTTACAGTCAATTTTAATTGAACATTATTTTTCTTAACATAACATAAAAATAGTACATGTAGATTGATGCTAACACCAAATTTTATGTCATAATGTTCACTTCTCCATTTATGTTCATGATGTCATGGAAACATACAGACTGTGCTGTGTTAGCCATGATGAAACATTATTTTTTCACATAACATTACAACTAGTGTTTGTGCAAACACTAATAATATATATATATATATATATATATATATATATATATATATATATATATATATATATATATATATATATATATATATATATATATATATATATATATATATATATATATATATATATATATATATATATATATATACATACACACACACACACACACACACACACACACACACACACACAGTATGTACTGTGCACTATTGTACAGTCAGATATTACTTTCATTGTAGACCAAGGCAGTACCAACACCTGAATTCAGTTTACAGATATTTTACCACCTTGTTGCCAGGCTGGTTGTACCACGTGGTACTGTACTGTGCTGTAGATATTGGCAAGACTGTAATGAAATATCACTGGAAATGAAGTGGAATTAACATTAACAAAAAGAAGACTGAGATGTGTATTGGTAGCAGGTAGGTATATGAAAAGTATGATCAAAATAGACGAGTTGGTGCCCTAGTTGGGTCATACAAACAGTAACTGACTGTTTCAACCTGCTGACCACTTGGATTGCATGGATACTTTTCATACAAACTTGGAATAAGTTGTACAGTTGGCCAAAAACTTTTAGAAATCTTAAGATATTTTGCCCACATGAAAAATATACAAGTTAGCTGGTACTTTGAATTAGTAGAGGTCAAATTAGTGAGGGTCTTCTGTTTAATGGTCCTTAATTCTTTGTTGAGGCACAATATACCTAGTATCAATGCAAAATTTACATGTGTAGTGGTTCCTGAATGCTGGATTAGAGCAAAATTGGATGGTTTAATGGTTCCTTACCCTGGATGGGAACAAAACTTACCTGTATATTGGTCCATTAATCTTATATCTGTGCAAAATGTATTGTACCTGAGTTGTGGCTCATCAACCCTGTATCAGTGCCACTGACTTTGTTCTCTCATGGTAGATTGACATTTAAACAGACACCATAGAGCAAGGTGAAGATATAAGTATGTCTCAGATATATATCCCTCTCCAGTATCACAGCTGCAGTCCTTTTTTATTGTTATTGACTTTGTTTCAAGTATCATTCAATCATGTACTATACAGTATAATTTAGCCATTTGCTTCATTCATATTTTTTCTGATTTTCGTATGTAAATAGTAATTGCACGAATGTGGTCGGTCATTCTTATTACATACACCTCCCTATCTTCCATGAAAGTTCAGCATTTCTCCTGCATTATTCAGATTTGCATTTTCTGTTTGCATATTTCAGAAAATATATAAATAAAATAATGTAAAATTAATATTTATTTTTGTTATTGTTGTTCAGGTGGAAAAAATTTTGGAAGAACGTGAAAAGAAGGGAAAAATTGAGTACTTGATTCAGTGGAAAGATTGGGGACCCAAATATAACACCTGGGAGCCTCAGGAAAACCTTGCAGGATGCCAAGATATTATGAAACGCTTCAAGGATCAACAGACAAAGGAGAAGGTGGGTTGATACATGGCATTAATTTTTATAACTTTATCTCAATAAATTGTGCCACATGTACTAACCATTTAGCTTGAGTAAAGCCATATTTACTATATACTGTACCTTGCATACCCATTTCTCAACCTTACTCAGTACAGGTGTTGACCGTTATACAATGGGGTTAGGGCCTTAGAAAAGCCATCGTAAGGTGATCGATAGTACTGTATATCAGTGTTAATAACTTAGGGGGAAAATAGGTTCCATTCCTGAGACCCTGAAGAGCCAGAGTTAGCACTCAGATCATTTATTTTTCAACTCATAATTTTGAGTAGACATACGTAATTTTTATTTTAAGTAATTTTTTGTGCTCTTATATGCACACAATCTTTCATACAGAATGTGCAAAATGTAAAGTTAAAGAAATAATAATTATAAGGTCAAAACCATTTCTCACGTGCACGGGAGTTATCACAGGGCAGAGCCTCCCATGCATCCCACGTGTCGAACGTGTTATGCCATTACGAGATTGCATCATCATATTAGAATACAGTATTGCAAGTTATTGCACATCACTTTTTCATAGCAGTCACAGTGCAGAAAAAGCATTCTGGTAGCAACCATTGTATATCTGATCATAGACATCACATACAATAGTGGTACAGGTATATTAATCCATTGTATATCAGTCAACACCTGTACCTAATTAACAGAGTGGATCAGATACACAACGTGTGAAGCCTGTAGTACCAATGCAGCCTTAAATACAGTATTATATCTCGGTAACAGATTTTTGTATACATTGGAAATATACAATAACCAGAATTGGGAATTCATTCTGGTATTTTTCAGGAAATATCTCTCATTTTCCAGGACCGAAAAATATTTTTTGGTAACTTCTTTGTCTTAACATATGGCTTGTTACATGAGTATACAGTTGGTCCTCATATTACGCGGTCCCGCATTCCGCATTTCACCGTTAACGCGGTGCCTTGCCAGAACCTAACATTTTCACATTCCGCGGTCGTGAACCCCATTACGCGGAGAGCGGCTGGCAAGCCGCGCCATTTTTGGATCCAAACCTCCCGCCATCCGCCATGTTGTGTAAGAGGCGCGAAAATGGTGCGCACAAGGTCGCCCAGTCATCAAAACATGACCAGTTCTTCACCCGCCACCCACTACAGCCGGCCCAAGTCAGTGATAGTGATAATTATAGTGAGGATATGGACTTATATGAACTTTGGGGGGTTTGACAAAGAGGCCCTGCAAGCCTCTGTGGTGGATAGTGATACAATTGATACAAGTGATACAGGTGAGGGCCAATAATCTGCCCTCTGCCTCAGAACCAACCGCCCATCCCCGTGTGCCCAGCCATCTTTTCTACTAATGTAAGTGTTAAAAAACCTAATATTATTGATATTTCTCTTAATTATTAATTGTGTGTGCATGCCATCATAAAGTTAAGATAATATTTTTACTACAACATAGTTGTGTGTCGTCAAAAAGTGGAGTGTGGGGATCGGCCCAGACTCCATTTCAATTAATCCCATATGTTATGTTATTCACTTTACGCGTTTCTCACTTTCCGCGGTACCCTCCGGGTTACATTAACCGCGTAATATGAGGACCAACTGTACATGCTTCCACAGACTTTGTCTTACCTGTTCATCTATATTTTTTTTTTTTTTTTTTAAGGTAACAGTATATCAAAGTACTGAAAAGCAGTTTAGTGGTAAACTAGTAAAATTACAAAACCAGCAAAAAAATAAAAGGTTGAAAATATCATAAAGCTGACAGTCACACTACCACCACCAAGAAACTACGAGATACTTTGGTTATAGTACAACAGGTATCATATCTGTTTAATTTATGCAACATTGCATTCAGTATAAGAGTTACTTAAACCTTGCTCATAGCTACAGATTATATGACAGCTGACTCCAACTTCTACTTTCTCATCTTTCAATACTCCAGTCAAGTTAATTAACATACAGTGCAGGGGGGTTGGGGAGTCTTCATTATATGTCATTTTATGATGAGGAATTTTTCCCTATACAAATTATTGTAATAAAGGGGTATATGTGTGTGTGTTCTTACATGTGCAGTAATATCCCTTGAAATCTTAGCAAATCAGCTTACAATGGGTCATTATAGCATACTGTACTGTACTGTATGGTGTTTGATATGGAGATATATTCTTTACAACATTATTTGTTACCTTAGAGAGACATGGTAGCTCAATATGGCTACTTGTTACACTTAGACAACTGATTAATGTATAAATACACTACAATATTATAAACTAAGTTTTGAAGCCAGTTGTTGTGGTAAACACCAACTATTTTGAGCAGTGACGGCAGAGATGAACGAGAGAAGTAGAGCATTAGCAACACTGCTCGGAGGGAGGCTGTCGGTGACGGTCAGCTGATAGGCCTTCTAAACAATCACCGAGAATTTAATACAGTGTAATAACTCATCTGAGGTCGGGTGTTTGATTTTTTTTTCAGGGAATTGATACTTTTACAATAATATTTTATTGACTCGGCACCAAATGAATGTAATTTGCTGTATATGAGTACAGTATGCCCTGACAGTTCGCAGATTTGTTATTCGCAGTCCTCTATTATTCGTGGATGATACCCTGGATGTACCCTAGAATGTCTATGGGTAGTTTCTTTATTTTTAAGTTTCGTTAAGACATTGAAATGATATTTCCATAACTTATGGTTACTTATGTAACAAAAAACATGTGCAACCTTCTCACAGCTAAGAAGTGCCCTTGTGTTATGATTATTTCCCGACCCTGATATTCCTACACACAATATAGTATACCTCTACACTTTAATTTTTTTTTATATCTTAAATATAATATTACGGTACAGTAATCTCTTTCTTCATAAGGCACACTAGTACAGGTACTCCTCATCTTACGACCACCCAGACATACGACCACTGCAGTCGTACAAAAAAAAATTCAAATTCTGTACGTATTTTCTAGTACCGAAACGTTTCCATCCCATGTGACAGCGTGGCATGGACTGGGCTGCCTCGTGGTGTACGGCATCCATCCCGTAGCACGCCCAGTTGGTGTTTGGCCGTCATTAGTGTCGTTAATGATTGCGCTGTGTACTGACAATATTTTCGTTTCTAATTCCCTTTATAATGACTGGTAGTCATAAAAGTGAGAGTTCTGGTGGTGCTCAGAAGAAAAAGAGACAGTCAATTACTTTTTGAGATGAAAATGAAACTAATAATGCAATATGAAAATGGAAAAACAGTAGCAACCATTTCACGCGACTCAACGATATCAACAATTTGAAGGACAAGGAACGAATTCGTGAGGAAGTGAGAGGATCAGCACCTATAAAGGGAACAGTAATAAAAAAAAAAAGACAAGGTCCTCTTCATGAGATGGAAAAATTACTTGTGATGTGGATGGAAGATGAGCTGCAAAAGCGTGTACCCTTAAGCCTTCTAACCCTACAGGCTAAGGCAAGAAGCCTTTTCGAAAGCCTGAAAGAACAGGCAGAAGATGAGTGCGACCAAAACTTCACAGCAAGTCATGGGTGGTTCCAAAGGTTTAAGAACCGTTACAGTTTGCACAGCTTTTAAGGAGGAGCTAGATAGTGTCATCGTGGAGGGAAAATATTTGGCTGAAGAAATATTTAATGTGGATGAAGCTGGCTTATTCTGGAAGCGCATGCCAGAACGGACATACATCCACAAAGAGGAGAAAACAATGCTGGGACTCAAGGCATTCAAGGACCGAATCACACTTCTGTTGGGGGGAATGTAACTGGTTTCAAGGTAAAACCCTTCATCATATACCATTCAGAGATCCCAAGGGCTTTTAGAAATGTCAGCAAGCACGCATTGCCAGTGTTTTATCACAGTAATAAGGAAGAATGGATGACCCTAGCACTGTTTGAGGATTGGTTCCTGAGTTGTTTCATTCCACGAGCCAAGGAGTATTGTCTGCAACAAGGGGTTGCGTTCGAAATTTTTTTAATTTTAGATAATGCTCCGGGACACCCATCGCACCTGGACAACCTGCACCTTGATGTTAAGGTAGTCTACATTCCACCTAACACTACCTCCTATCATCCAACCCATGGATCAAGGTGCTGTTGCTGCTTTTAAAGCGTATTATTTACATACAACCTTCGCTCGGGCTGTTGCTGCTTCTGAAGGTGAGAAAACGCTCAGATAGTTTTGGAAGGACTACATTTTGAAATGTATAAAGAACATACCTTCAGCATGGGATGAGGTTACAGATCAGTGCATGAATGGAATATGGAAGAAGGTCCTGAAAAGATATGTGAACAGTTTCAAAGGATTTAATGAAGAAACAATTTCTGAGATTAGTGACTAGATAGTGCAGATGGGTCAACAGCTGGAGTTAGAAATTGATAATGAAGATGTTGAGCAGTTGGTGGAAAGTGTAGCAGAAGAGCTAAGTAACGAGGATCTTATTGAACTGAATGCACAGAAAATTGCAGAGGAAGAAGAGACAAAATGTAGAAGAACCTGCACCTCCCAAAAATTTTTAGTGAAACAAATGGCAGAGGCATTTGCTACTATTAATAAGGGGATGCAAATGTTTGAAGAAATGGACCAAAATGTTGAGCGTTTTGCAAAAGTTGACAGAATGATCCAAGATGCACTTGCTTGTTACAGGGAGATTTACAATGAAAAGAAAAGGCAAACTGTGCAGTCTAAATTGGACATATATTTTAAGACGTCCCCCATTGCTGTCTCCTCACGCCCCACCACTGCTGCCTCTACACTCCCTAAAGATGATCCAATATCTTCAACAAGCAAGTATGTTAGCCTGTCTGAAGAAAGCAAAATTGATGACCCACCAAGCCCTGTCTCCTCCTCTGCTTTATCCAATTAATGTAGTCTCCATGTTTAATTTATAAATTATTGAGGCCCCGTGTGCATTCAGCTTACTACATTAAAGGTAAGTGCACAGTAACACTTTATTCATTTTTCATTATTGATTACTTTTACTGTACCGTATTTCATTTTAGATTTTCTATGTATTATTTTCGCATTTTTGACTTACGACCAATTCGACTTACGACCTGGTCGTTGGTCCCTAACCCTGTCGTAAGTCGGAGACTGACTGTACATTGAAATTATTTTTCTGCAAATTCTGTGGTTCCGTAACACATAACATTGGCATTAGTGGTCAATCTTGTGACAGCTGACAGATGTATTTTGGCGTGGTAGAAACTTAACACTGTAGGGCACCTTTATTACTTTTTGTGGTTATCACTGCATTACATAATGTGCTTTTAACGCTATTTATTCATCTTATTCGGGTACACACAGGCTTGGTATAGAACAGTACAGGTATACCTCTTTTAACGAAGTCCTGGCTAACGGATTTTTTTTAAGCGAACAAAAAATATATAAATAATAAATATTCTGATAGTAACTATAGCACTTCCAAGTCTCCTGTGAACTATGCACTGTCTATAAACATGCTTAGGGTATTATTTTTACTATTATTTGCCCTGTCAAGCACAGCGCTTGTTTACATCGAACTACCTGTGCACATGATCATGTGACATTTCAGAGGCATTGCCTTTGCATCATCACTATCACTGTATGGATAGGAAACTGATCGGGCAGCAAAAGAACATTCCCATACTGCTCTTGGCTCTTGGAGGTATGAAGGATCATCACTACTATGCAAATTTATTTCAGAACATGTTGTTAGAGGATTTAGTCAGTAGGCCAAATACTTAGAATCACCAAACATTAGTGCCTTAAAAGTCATGAGGCAGCGTTTGAACTCTGCCCTAACTTTAATTGGAAGCCAGTGCAATTCGATCAAGAATGGGGTAGTTGGAGAGCAAAAATAATCCTGTTTATATATCTGTGTGAACTTTCTTCAGTAGATAATGAAGTAGGCAGACCCATGTAGAGTTACATTAGTGTTCCCAAGACAAAATAAGTGAATATACTGTAATACTGTAGTGTCACAAGACACTGTCTATCTAAAAACTGTTTAAGAGCTTATAGATTTCCAATATGAAAATTGCAACTCTTAACTCCTGAATATATGTAGGGTGGGGGCAAATTTGCAGGGTTAGGTTCTCAAAATGGCATGACTGCCAAATCCGTAAATAACATTTATGGATGGGGGGTTACATTTAACTTGTGTACAAAGAAATATATATTCCCATTATGTGTTTGCCCTTAGGACAATTATTTCTTTCACCTGTATTGTACAGTATATGTGTGTGTGTGGGGGTGGGGTGGGTGGGTGGTTGGTTGTTGTGTGTTTGTATTACATTTTTACTTGTGTGCAAAGAAATGTATATTCCCTTCATGTGTTTGCCCTTAGGACAATTATTTGTTTTACCTATATTGTATATGTGTCCACACACACAACCCCCCGGTCAGCAAATGTTAGTCACAGATTTGGTGATTCGCGGCCATTTTGAGAACCTAACTCCCGCGAATTGTGAAGGGCAGGCTGTATACAGTGTGCTGTATCCACACTGTCCCTAATGGGCAGTGATGCCCATGAGAACAACTTTCACTTTCAAACTCAAGTGGGGTGTTTGACACATAATCCTGATGAGTTTAGTCAGTAATGGACAATTATCCCAAATATCTGGGAGTGGAGGGTTGCTGTCCCTTATTGGGAATATCCAATATTGAGAACGTTTATTGTAAATAGAGATGTGTAAATCAAAGGATCTCTGTACTTTAAATACTCTAATTTTGTATGTTAATACTGTATTAAGGTCTTTTTCTTGTAAATTAGGGTTAAGGTGTTATTTACATCTCTTCAATGAAAAGTAAGTTACTTATTCTTTTCTGTATAATGTATTTATTACTGTGTATCATCTTTCACATATTTCATTTTTGTAGGAAAAAATGCTGAAGGGAGGACGCAAGATGCGGGAAGATAGACCAACAACGCAGAGATATGTTGACAATTACTCAGAAGGATCTCGTTCTCGCTCACGCCGATCTGGAAAAAATCGCTCTTATTCAGAATTCTATGATCAGTGATTTTTATTATGGTTGGTCTGTTTCATATTGGTTGAGACTAAGTGAAATTGAAAAATGTAGAAATGAGTAGTTGTAGATTTAACTGCATTAATATTAAGGATATCAGATTGTCTTTAAACTAAGATAATGTTTCATTTGAAGGAAATTCCTGACATTTTATAGCTAAATTAAATTAAAGAGAAACCTGCAACCGGAAGTAAATTTTTGCTTTCAAGATAATTGCATAAGAAGTTGGTTGATTTTTTCTGTGTACATGCAGACACAAATATAATGTTACAGTACATGCTTGTACACACACACACTATTATACTTACTCCCAATACAAGCACCTATACACTTACCCTATATACCCTCATATCTATATTCATACATACCCATACACCCTCACATGTATGTGTAAACATGAAAATATATACATATTTGCCTGTATGATGTTTATGTTTAAAGGGAGTACACAATATATTTGACTTCATTTGCAGTGAGTAGGTTGCAAATAAAGTTGTATGGTAAATGTTATGCATCTATCTGATAGCTTTTGTACTGCTTTGAAAGCTGGGCACCAAGGGCAGGATTTTTAACACAAACAACATGTACCGGTACACATTTTTTATCGTGTGCTCTATCTCCCTCTTCCTTTTGTGTGTGTGTGTGTGAGAGTGCGTGCGTGCGTGCATGCGACACAAAAAAGAATTCTCCTGAAAGATAAGTTGTACTTTTACTTATTTTACCTTAGAAAATAGTTTACCTATTGTTTAAATGGATTTCATCAGTCTACACAGTCATGTCAGTTTTCTTTCTGAAGTAGAACTTACAAAACATTTTGAATATCTTTATAAAAAAAAGATTTCTTACTTTAGCCTAACTGTAAGGAGGTGCCTATTTATAAAATCTATACCACATCTTCTAATGATATTACTGTAGTGGGGGATATAAATGACACTTGTTTTATATTATGAGAGTTTTATGAATATACAGTACATGTTAACAAATTATTGTAGTCTGAACTTAATGAACCTCATTTAATTCTACTCACTGAATAATAATGACTAGGGTGTGGTATTAGCATACAACAGTTACTAGGATAGAATTTTATGAATATACAGTACATGTTAACAAATTATTGTAGTCTGAACTTAATGAACCTCATTTAATCCTACTCACTGAATAATAATGACTTGGGTGTGGTATTAGCATACAACAGTTACTAGGATAGAATTTATGCAAGTGATACACATGGACAACAAAAACTTAAGGAGCCAACATTTGGTGGTCTTATTGATAGTTTATATCAACAGACATACGATGGTAACGACATGATGTTGTTTACTCTGAGCTTTAGGCACTGGATAGGAAAAAAATTGAAGAAGTTTATTTTGTAAGTAACGTTGGCAGTAAAGAAAGTGTTTTCTATTTAGCACCCATCAGATCATAATATGAAGTCAAATTGCATCTTCCCACACATACTGTACATTATTGTTTTATAATTGAAATATGTAAGAGATGATATGTTTAACACTGCTAATATAAATGTTCCAAGTGGTTGATGGGTAACACAACAGCCTTGTACTTAACCCTTTAGAATAAGCCTTCAGTGAATGTTAGCTGTAGGGACAGTGGCCATTGTCTGCAGAAGTTTTGTTTCTAGTTCCTTTTTTTGCATATTGGACTGGGGGGTTCTTTAGCCGCCAATGAAGTGTTATAAAGAACTGGTAAAACTGTATGTGTCGTTTGTCATTATTAATGCTTTTGCAAAATATTGTGAATATTGAATTCTTGATAAGATTTTAAAGTTTTAGAAAAAATAGATAAAACTTCTGTAGCTACTAATAATAGTACAGTCATCCCTTGGTTATCACGCCTAATTGGGACCGCGCCGAGTGCGTGATAACGAAAAACGCGATAACGAAAGTACAGAACCTATGGGATTTATTCTAATTGGTTCCAGGCACCCAAGACCCATCCTTAATTTTCCCATTTTACGACCATTTAGACCCACTAAAGAAATAGATAATGTTATGGTAAGTATCAGAAACACACATAGGCATGGCTAGGTTTATTACAAAGTGATGAAAAGGGTACAATAAGGAAGAATACATTTGTTACTGGGTATGTTACTGTACTTACAGACTTGAGCTGGTCTTGAGGGAAGGGATTCCGAGGCTAGAGGGTAGAGAGTTAGTGGTCCCCACCCAGCACTAACTCTTCGAGTAACTCATCATCCTCTTGAAAACCCTCAAAGTCAGCTTGTGGTAGTACAGGTGGCTGTTGTTGTTGACGAAAGAAGTCCGTAATTTGTCTCTGCCGCAATGCGTTGTGGTGATGGTTTAGCTGGTCAACATAAGGCTGGAGTGCACTGCTTCTGATACCGGACACACTTTCACTGTCGCCGGCGGGGAGAGGGTGCTGTTCGATGAGGTGTTTCAACCGTTCACTCAACTCAATGATCTCCCTGACTTTTGACATGGGCTGTGCGGCTGGTTGTGCTAATGGGCTGTCTTCTCTGTTCCGTCTGTCTTCCTCTGCCTGCCTGTCTTCCTCCATAATATCCTCAGCTGTAGGCATAACAAGTTCCAGCAAAGCCCGTATGTCGTCCTCTGTCGTCTCATCGAACCCTCGTCCTGCCTTGCCTCCTCTGCCGCCAACTCAACCTCTGCCTGGACAGTGCGATTCCCCTGGCACTTCTTGTCGTCGGTCCTCAGGCAAACCCTCTAACACATTTCTCTAGGCATGGTTTACGGTCGCTGGTGTCACTGCATCCCAACACTCAACCATTAAGTCTATCGCTTCCTTGACGTTAAATGCCCGCCAGTACTGCTTGACTTGCTGCTCCGCCTCTGTTTCTACGTCCCCTCCTCCTCCTCTTCGTCACTGTCGACCAACATCTGCACAGCATTTTCGTCCTCAGTTGCAAAGCGCATCCTCCTGAATTGTTTACGGGAGTAAGCAGCCTTGACACACGAGATTATTTCCATGTCCATCGGCTGGATGAGAGATGTTGTATTAGGGGGTAGAAATTCCACTCTTATGTTCGGATGTGCTGATCGTAGTAGAGGAGAATGGCCGGGAGCGTTATCTAGCAACAAGAGAATGTTGAAGCAGATGTTTTGTGCCTCACAAAAGGCCTGGACCTCGGGAACGAAGAAGTTGTTAAACCAATCCAGTGACAGCTTCCCTGACATCCGGGCCTTCTTGCTTGTAAGCCAGTTCACATTAAGCCTCGTCATATCTTGTCGTCTGTAGGCTCTGGGCTTCTTTGCTCGATGGATAACTGTCGGTTTCATCCTACACGATCCCGTAGCATTAGTGGTGAACAAGACAGTGAAACGCTCCTTAATTGCCTTCCTGCTGACCTTGGCTGACGACTTGGTGATGAATGTCCTCTTAGGCATGACCTTCCAATTGAACCCCGTCTCATCCATATTAAAGATTTGGTCCTGGTTGTGCTGCCCTGTTGCGATGATGTCCTGTAGGATTTGAGGCTATACCCTGGCACTGGCACGGTTGCCACTTGCAACCTCACCCGAAATCTTTACATTCCTCACTTGGTGTCGTGACTTGAAGTTCTCGATCCAACCTTTACAAGCGTTGAATGCAGATGGGTTTTCCACTTCCCACTTCCTAGCGAGCTTCTGGTAAAGTTGTTTGGCGGTATCCATCAAATCTCTGGTCTCGACGGCCATGTTTCTTCTTCCTTGCTTCTGAACATACCTTACCAAAAGTTGTTCAGTCTTCGTCAGCAACTGATTAGGACTCCTGCGGGCTTGGGCTAATGCGTTGGTTTGGGCTAGTTCCGTGTGCTTGACAATATGATCCTTCATCTTGTATATCCCCCTAATTGTGGACTCATTGATGCCGTAAGTGAGGGCCACTGCTCGCTTCAATTTGCTTCACCACCTCCAATTTCTCGGGGTACGTCAGCGTCTTCCTCTTCTTTATTTGCCTCTGAGCGGCAGGTCCAGGTACGGGGGCTGGTTGGGAGGGGCCTCAGCCATCACGGACAACAATAGGGTACACACAAAAAAGAGTAATCCTTGGTTCCTGCGCACAAGCCACAGTTACCACGACTGCGGGGTAGAGGGACGCTTTCTGAAACTCCCCTTCTACCCTAGCTGTGGTGATGCGGGCCAATAAAAAAACGAGCTTTGGTGGCTGAAAAATCCCGCCCAATGAAAACAGCTCACTCGTGTGATGACGTCGAGGGCTGATGCGCAGTTCGATGTGAGAGGGTGGCGGGCAGCTGTGTAGCGTGCCCAGAGACGCGTCTGTTGGGAAACATTAGGCGCCAAATTGACAAGCGCAAAATCGGAAAGATTCACTTTAAATTAAAAAATTGCCCTTAATTGTAGGTGTCGCTTTAAATCAATAATCTTGAATTAAATCGCTTTAAATCAACGTTTTACTCTACCGTAATATTGTATAAATTTGAGAGAAATTAAGTTAACTTCTCGTGAAAAAACAAGGGTTGTGGCTCTTGATTTCAAATTTGTGTTTCCACAACCCAAAATCTAAAAAAAAATTTAATGAAATAACTTTATCAAGACTTAAATGAGATGTGATTGCTTTGAAGCACCAATGCTACTGTATTAATACTAATTGGAATCTAATGATACACAGTACATAAAAACCCCTACTGTTTCACATTTATGTGTCCCAATACTAGCAGCAAAATAGTCAAAACCACGTTACGTCTATTCATGAATCTTAATCTTATGAAAACAAAAACAAGACAAGGGTGCATTCTGTGACCAGGATATCCATGACAAACTTAAGCCTTTGGCACTTACCTATACATGTGGGAGTATTCCCTTTCCCACGGCACATTAAAAGCGCATCTTGAAGAATTTTAACTTTCTTCCCCCCATTTCATTAAAAACATATTTTGGGAAGTGTTCATTATCTACCCACCTTAGTTAACCCATGTTATATGAAAAACAAACCTTCAGAAATATTCTCTATCTGCCCCATCCAGGTCAGCCCACAATACATTAAAACTTACATTTTGGCACATCACAATTTTTTTTTAATTTCCGTGTGTGGGTTAAGGTCTGGAAGAGTCAGGAGTCGAGTGAGACAGGGAAGGTGTAAAATGGTGGTGGCAAATTAAATGAGGGAAGTGTGTGTGTGTGTGTATGTATGAGATTTATAACAACGCCAGTTACTTGTCAGAAAATGGTAATAACCTAAATCAGATAGACAGTCAAAGAATTCATTGTGTTTCAGGTTGAGTGCATCAAATGGCAACTGCAGGTAACCCCCACCCCTTTGAGTTGCTGAATTCTCCCTACAGACTGACTAATATTTCTGATTCAGTCGATAATTATGGTGTAATCTGTTCAGTAAATTAATATAAAGTATAAATGTGGTTATTACGATGTTTTATGTAGAAGGGAGTTATTCTCACTGTTATTCTCAACCACAGGCTCCTTCACTTGCTTGTGTTAATGCGAGAGTGTCTGATCATCCAGAAGTGCAGGAGCAGGTGGCACCTACTCTCCTTACTGAGATGTATAGGCCCATCGCTCACTTGTTTTCTAGATTTGGTTTAAAAAATAGGGAAGGGGATAATTTACTGTTCATTCCTGCAATATTACAGTATTCTAGGCTGTTTTGAGGCATGAAATCTCAGAAGAATACAGGTGTTCCCACCAATCACAGCATCTTCATTCATGGTTTCCAATTCTTGTGGTTTTGTAAAATGTACGGACTTCCCTCTCTTAGTTTCAGTTATCTAAATTTCTTGGTTGTGGTGGTGTGTTCTGGCAGTAGATAACACCAATATCTCTCTTATAATGGGTCCTAAATATAATTGAGATACGTATGTTATTGATTCTAATACATTAATTTATCCATAAAATTTGTACAGTAATTCCGTTTTTTTTTTTTATCACGGTTTTGACCATTCACGTTTGTTTTTTCATATTATTATTATTAAAAAATTATATACTGTATATATAAAATATCCTTTTAAAATTTTATTTTAAATTTTGCGCCATTTTCAATATTCCCCTGTGCGGTGCGGCAAACAGACGCTACCCTTTCCCACCTCAGACACCCGCTGCTCCGAAAAGCCCCAGTCTGCACGTGCCTACCATACTGTGAACGCTACTGTGACTGCGTGAGGGCGGTCAGACG